GATTAGGAATTTTCCTCTGAAAGCAAACGGAAATCAATTTCCCGTTGTTGAGTGAAAATATTTTTCCTACCACTTATGTTACCAAACGGAGAAAAATAGAATTATAATTTTCCGGGAAAATATTTTCCCCCCAACCAAAGACACACATTATGAAATATTTTGAAATAAAATGTCTGAAACAAGTTTTTAGGAAGTTTTAAGCAAGTTAAATTTAGCAATCAAGTGAATCAACCAATAAATTTTAAAAAATGGATTGTTTCTAATAGATGTACATTAAAAAATTAAAAAGTTAAACCCTGGTGAGATAGAAGTCTTTTTGGTCTGGATGGAGATGATGAGGTAGAACTATGAAAGAAAATACTCCGTACAGAGAAAGTAATACCTATTCCATGAGATAACAACTATTTTAACCATTTATTTACAAATTATTAAAGCAAAAACAAAACCATAAAAATAAATACCAGAAAGAAAGGGTACCTTTATACGACCATCACCAGAGCTTATAGCAAAGAAGTCCATAGAAGGGCTGAAAGCCGTCAATAAATCTCTAATGTTGAACGACCCCATAGCTGAACACAGAAGCTAAACGATTAAAACATGAACTTTAAAAGTGAGCATTTAAGTGTAGGTACCAATTAAAGCGTATGAACCAGAGAAAACTGTATCCCGTGAAGAAAAGGCGGGTAGCAAAGCAGCGCGTGCACTCTGATGCACTTTCTTCTGCCCTCTAGTCTAGCAAGGAAGAAAAGACGAATATTAAAATTTGTCTTTAGAGCTTATTTACTTCTGAATATATTTTGGTCTTATGTTTGTGTACATCTGACTCATAAATTTTTAAATTTACTACCTAGAAATTGTTAAATCAACAACCCCACTCCAAAGATATCGTATTGAATTTTTTTTGTATAAAAGACGTTTTGTTCGATCAAAGGAAATACTTTCTAAGTAATACATCAAAAAAGAGTTGCACGGAGGTAAAATATGATAAATTCATTTACACCACCATAAATTTCAAATTTTTATGTAAGATTTCATGACTTTTAAGAATTATACCATGTCAAAATTTAAAAGTTATACATTGAACACATGAAACTTTTTGGGGACGAAAGGACTAAAATGTGTTTTTTAAGACCAGTTAACATAGTTGTTACAGCAATGACGCAAGGCACTTGAAGACCTTCACATTGCCTTAACGTAAACACAACAGCACACAGTCACACACACGTAGACACACACATGCCCAAGTCACATTGATAAGTACCAAAAGTCCAAATGCAAAAAATTAAATATAAAGTGAGATAACAAAGAAGTATCTTTGATTAACTGCTAGCACAACTGAAAATTAGAAGCTCAATATCCACTATCAAAGACTCCAATTTCAAATACTTAAAAATCATTCATCAATAAGAGGTTCTCTATAACAATATGCGACTTTCTTTCTTTTAATTATCTACTCAAGTATAAAGTTTTTGTCTTGTTTAGATTAGCAAATAACATTCAACAGAAATTCAGAAAAAAAAAATAATGATGAAATGTGACATTTTAGAAAGAAATTATGCACCAAGTAATGAAAATAAATTTATAAAAGGTAATATAAAAACAAAAATCAATTAAAAAAATGACGAGTGGTAAATCAAATTGAATGTGTAAGTTATGTTTGGTTATTCCAAACCTAAGAATTGGAAAATCAAATTGAATGTGTAAGTTATGTTTGGTAAGGAATGATGTTGTCTGTTACTATATATGCTTAGGTTTGGAATAACCAAACATAACTTACCAAGTAACAAAATATGCATTTACGAGGATAATGCATTTACGAGGATAATGCTGCTTGCATCGAGCAAATGAAACTTGGATTTATCAAAGGTGATAACACCAAACATATTTCTCCCAAATTTTTCTATAATCAACAACAACAAACTCTCCTCAAGATCCAAGTAAATCAAATAAGATCTGAGGAGAATGTGGCAGATTTATTCACCAAATTATTACCTAAAGCCACATTTGAGAAACATGTAAAAAATATTGGGATGCGTAGACTTTCAGATCTTCCTTGATCATGTACACTTCAGGGGGAGATTTGAATATGGGTGAGCATGGTACGGTATGGGACGGGATTATGCCCGTACCGACACCGTACCATAACTTTCGGTTCGGTATGGGATTTTATGTGTTACCGTTACCGATCCCAAAATATTGGTACGGTACGGTTTGGGAAAAAATGATATCGGTACGGGATTTTTTCGGGATTTTTTTAAACAAACAAGGTATAATACACAATTGGTAATAAAAATAGTAGTAGAAACATTTGTCTTAAATAGAAAAACAGTAAATGTAAATAGCAGTAGCAGTAGTACAAAAGATTGCTATCCAGAGATTATCAAACAATCAGGTTGTTATCTGTTTCATTTTAAGCGCCTTGAAGCTCGAGTCGTGTGTTTATGCTTTTAACTAAAACAATTTGAACTACTTTTGTATGCTTTTCTATGTTTTAATCAACTACCGCAATGCAAGTAAAGAAAGACAAAATAAGTATATATGATTTATGTCCTTGTTATAAAAACATATTAAGTGCTGTCCGTGTCATGTATGGATTAAAAGAATTAAAAGAATTTCAGATTTTCACAACAAATTCATAACAATTAGCAAAAAAATTCAAATAAAAATTTCAATTTTTAACATGACAAATTCATATAAGAAATTGTCAAATTCACAAAAAAAATTCATAACAAATTCATACCACAAATTTATAAAGATTAAATATTTTTCATATTTACACATAACAAAATGTAAAATTCATAAAGAAATTCTGAAATTAGTATTTTTTACCTCCTTACCTGGACTCCGGGACCTGGAGGCGGGAGAGTTTCCGGCGAGGTGGCGTCTGGCGGGCAGCGTCTAGACTCTGCAGCAGTGGAGCGTGCAGGCGGGCGACGGCGTCTCTCTCTCGGCGACTTCCTTCTGGCGTCTTTTTCAATTTCCGTTCGTGCTACTGCTTGGGTGGGTTTGGGAGTTTGGCACTTTGGCTACTTCTGCTTTCTATGTGGAACGGAAATAGGAGGGCTACTGGGCTAGGGAGTTTTGGGCTTTGGCTGGACTGGACTTTAATATATATATATATATATATATATATATATATATATATATATATATATATATATATATTCATATAGGGTTCGGTTCCTGTGAGAATGGACCGAGAAATGAGAATAGATCTAAACCATTAGATCTTGTGTATTATGCGGCTCAGATTTTGACAACTAGTTATTTGTTTATATGGTAAGTATTAATACATTTGCAATAAAATAGGAAGAGATAGAGAAGTGAGTGCATTTTTGTAAAGATTGCAGTAATTAAAATAGGTAACCATCCATACGCATTAAGGTCCGAATCTTTAGCCGTTATTCTAGGAGTAGTCATATTAATGATTGTAATATTAATCATTTTTTAATTGTGCAATAACGGATTTGTCAAGTTAATGATTTCTTTTTTATGTTTTTTCAATTTGTGAACTATTTTTTTTATCAAAATCAATAATGAATAATATTTACTATTAACCTCTTTATAATATTTTATTTCTTTTTTTTGATTTATTTTAATGCATTTCTTAAAGTGCAAGAGATTTATTTATTTATTTATTATCATTAAAATTTTTTGACCCAAAATAATATATGGTTTATAATTCAATTTTTTTTCTCTAAATACTGTTCCATCATATATCCCTTTTTTCATCACTTTCTTTTACATTTTTTTTGCATATTGTTTTCCTCACATGATAATATTTTTACATGTATGTATCATTTTAATATATAACTGCAATACATATTGTAAATTATGCATGCATTATTTATCTTAAAGTGCAAGAGATTAAAGTGCATTTCTTAGTATGTGGTTTATTAATGCCATTCTTAAAGTGCAAGAGATTTATTTATTTATT